AAATTTATGACAAACAACTTAACATCAAAATCATATATCTTTTCTGAAATGAATTAATCGATCAAAATCTGGTCATACTTTCATTTAGATTTTTGTTATCAGTGATCCCCAATTATTACTTGATCAGATGACTCAGAAAAGAAAGCTGAAGGAGTAAATTGCAAATTTGAAGAAACCTTAAACTGGAATACAACACAAAGTATAGTAATAGCGTATAGTATTTCTAGCAGCATCTTAATTATTGCCGTATCTGTAAGTTTTGCTTATAAATCTATAGAAGCTAGGTTATAAAAACCTCAAGTCTATTCATGGGATCGGCATTTGAATTTCATGATCCCAGGCCATTTACTGAATCATAGTTACTCTCAAAATAATTGATACTAGAAATATTGTAATTCGCTTAATTGGTGTAGTATCTAAAGGAGTTGACAGTAACTTACGATTTTTTCTTTGTCTCTCTGCAACTTCATGATTATTTTTGTTGAATAACAGTGATAAGTCCATTAAAAAAAAAGAACAAAGAATTTGTGGCAAGGCAGGTGGATAGTTGCAAATTTTCTACATGATCACCATAGTGTTTCTTCAATTACTGCCTTTTTTTGTATTGTTTAGATAATCTCATTATCTAAGTATTGGAGCAATGACAAAATGCAATATTGATTTTCATTTCATCATGAGATTTAGCCTCCAAATATTTCTAGAGTTTTAGTTAAGTCATTGTCATGCAAGTAAACTTACTAGTGCCTTTCCCCTCAAAACAATCAGAACAAATACACAATGAACAAAATTCATTTGTTGATTTAGTGAAAATTTTTTTTGCAAGATTGAAATCCCAAACAAGGAATCCTAATGTTTCGCACAGTCTATGAATGCTCAGAGCATCCATTACATTTTTAGTCACAGAGAAAGTGTCGATAACACATGCCAAGTTCATACAGATTATCAACACAATCAACTTCCCAAATGCCGCCTTTAAGTTAGGCAAGATGTCTATTGAAATTCCCTCTATGACTCTTTGAATCCAGAATTACACATGGTGAGTATTCAACATCTGTATTCTCTTCTAATAATTCATCTAAATCAACCAGAAATTTGATATCAAGATTATTCCTTTAATATCATCATGCCAAATTCATAAATGATCTCTTGTCATACATGATTCATGGTATAACTTCTTTTTTCCTTCACGTTATAAATCAAAATCAATTAAATTTTCAAGATTACAATTGCTGATGAATTAGATGTTTTGGATGATGATCTACTTGACAATTAGTTATAATTACAGTCACAACAGGCTATAATTGAATTCCTGTCATAACGGATTTTTTAAATTTTACGGATTTAAATAAAATTTTTTATGTATCCCGTTCATCCGCTGTGACAAGGTTTGACTGTATAGGTTTTTTTTGTATAGTTTAAAATTTTAATGTAATAAAATGGATTTTTAATTATCAAATAGAGGTTCTTTGGCGATTTTTCTTCACAACCTTCTAAAACCTCCTCATTTTCAATGGACTCGTCATCTTCAGTTTTTTTCTAGAATAAATACTAGTGACTATTGTCAATGGTGTTGGTGATGATTATATCAATTTTTCATATTTTTATTATGGTCGAACATATTAGAATTAACCCCCCCCCCCCCCACCAAATCGAATATATATATATATATGAAAAATCCGTTAAATCCGTTAAATCAAGATAAAAAAATTATAAATGGATTGGGTTTTGAATGTTTGTCCGTTAAACCTTAAATCTGCTAAATCGAGATATGCTGTATATTCGTAATTTTATAGTGTTACGATATTTCGAAAGTGTTACGATATTTCGAAAGTGTTACGATATTTCGAAAGTGTTACGATATTCGAAAGTGTTACGATATTTCGAAAGTGTTACGATATTCGAAAGTGCTACGATATTCGAAAGTGTTACGATATTCGAAAGTGTTACGATATTTCGAAAGTGTTACGATATTTCGAAAGTGTTACGATATTCGAAAGTGTTACGATATTGAAAGTGTTACGATATTTCGAAAGTGTTACGATATTTTGAAAGTGTTACGATATTCGAAAGTGTTACGGACATTTGAATATATAAAATTATTTGACATCAATTTCTAATATGCTAATTAATGTGAATATTCGAATAGGAACACTAATTCAGTGTTAAGGTGTTCCATGTCACAATCCGAAAAAAGGAAACGTTACAAATAGTTTCTAAATTTGTAATGATTATAATGATTATACAATCAGTTCAAAAAAACCGTTTTCATTGAATTCGATTATAATGGAGCCTGCGTAAAAATATATTTGATTGATATAAAAATGATCGTCTTACATAAATTTTTTAAAAATATTAATATAATTCAAAAAAAAAAAAAAAAATCGTGTATTATTATCATTAAATCAATAATTTTTTGATAATAATGGCTGATAATCCTGATAATGACAGTAGTGATAGTGGTAAAAAAAAAGATCAATATTATATTACAATTAGTGATGATGGAGAATATATAGCTAGACTTTATTGTTGTAGTGAAAATGAAAGTTTAAGATTAAAAATTACACATAATGAAAATTTTGAATTATTAAATAATGATGATAATGATAGTGACATTGACAAAGAACAAGACAAAGTAAAGATTTGTAATATTGTTAAAAAATTAACATTCTTAGATGAACTTAATCCATATGTAAAACCTTCAGATGTAAAAGATCCACAAAAAGAGGATAATAAAAAACAAAAAGAAAAAACAAAAGAGGATAATGGAGAACAAGAAGAAAAAATAAAAGAGGACAATAGAAAACTTTTATTTTGGTCATTTTCTATATCAAATATGGTTTTTTTTAATAATAAACCAACAATTTTAGTGGCAATTTCAAGAGTAGTACCAAATGATATGATTGATCATGATAGACCAATTAATCACTTACTTGATAAACTTGAGGAATACAAAGAACTCAAATTAAAATATCAAAATATGAAAGAACTTTATTATCCCTTGCATTCACAACCTTCTAGTACTGTAATATTTTATATAGATATAAGTGATATTTATAAAGATGATGATAAAAGTAACAATAACAATCATGAGATTAATTTTGATGAAAATGGAATTTGTTTAACTAGTAA